GTTTTAATTCAGTGACAGTTCCTATGAACTTTACTTGGGCTGGGGCATGCTTCCACACCTCAGGATTGAATTGGTTGAAACCCTCCCTGGACTGTTGCTTTAAGGTAGAAATATCTGCTACATATTACTACTCTGCCTAGGTTTACGCGGGAATTTGGAAACTGCTTCTATTTAATGAGTAAAATTTCATGTTGCCTCGATTCCCGTCCTCTGAGCGAGACAAAGCGCGCGGACTTACTGTCCACCACCTCTCCATGTCGGTGACGGCCCATACACCGATGATGGGCCTAAAATATGTAGAAAGATATAGTATCCGACACAGGTGTGGGAGGGTCGTACTGATACCCTCCGAAAAGGAGTGAAAGCGTAAAAAGAGAATCTGCGCAACGCACGGTTCTCCCTGCTAGCAAGCGCGCTGCCTTTTGATAGTCGCTTCCCATGTTGAGCTTGGCACAGTTAAATGGCAATGGCAAGGTCGGTTTCTAGGCTCCAAAGTTACGTAGCCACACCGTGTTTCTTCTTTGCATTTAATTTTTGCTCGGTGGATCTGGTTGACAGTCATTCAGGATATCATGTATCATTTTTGGATTAATCTGAAGGGGTGATGAAGTGCTCCAAGATCACTTTAGGTCGGACAATGAAATGACACTGCTTGTGAAAAGAAAGCAACGTGAGAACAGAGCCTTCTTTGCTAGACAAGTGCAGCCTAGCCAGCCGGAGCAAAATCATTTCCGCCTGCTATGCAACACATCTATTTATACTTCCTTCACGTATTCCTTTTGTCATGGAGACTTTTGCAGAGAGGCTCTTCTGCGCGAAGCTTTTAGGGAAAGGGATAGGAGACAGGAACACATAGGGACAGAAAACAAGACTGAATAGGCAGAAAGACGATCTTGTTCTTGCCGGGCGTAATAGAGACAGGCCGAACTACGCGAAAATGGCCGAAAACAAGGCCATTTTCGCGTAGTTCGGCCTGCCGGAGCGACTTTTTTTTCAAGTTTTTACAACAGTTCCTTTTTGATTCTCTGCTAGGTGAACATCTCAAAATTCGTTTAACCCATACCAAACGCTTCCAGTAAGACATTGATCTTGAAAGGGAGCTTGATATGCGAATTTCGAGTAAGATTTGATGAAATTGGATTTCTTGTATTGCGGAGTCTGTCTTGACAAGAAGCAAGTAGAAGGCTCAAAGCTCTTGAGGTCTCATATCCTGTAGTTTCTTGAAAAAAATTAGCGGTCTGACTTCACAATTGGCTCCAAATAAATACCCGCGCAAGGTCACTGCGTCTTTGCTTTTGCCTTTTTTCGAAGCTCAATTACAGTGTGTTCTTTGTAAAAAAGCTTAAAGGAGAAGTGCTGATGACCGTCAGCCAGTTCCATCTAGCAAAATGACGATGAAGGTGGCTGTAACATTTTGAGCATCGCAGAGGCGATTTTGAACATTAGAGACAAAGAACGAAAGTTTTTGGCATCCAGTTGTTGATCAGCCCTGAAATTTTGTGTTGACGATCAAATTTGCGATAAATCTTGACATTTTTTCATCTGAACAGCTTTTCACGGAGTGCGGTTTTACGATTGAATCCACGGATCTCTTTCACTGAGGGTCCTCTCTCACTGAAAGATCTCGAGCCGGTTGGTGGCGAGGCTACGTGGCGCGACCCCAGGTGGCGGATAGGGGGTAAATCGCGGACCAAAAGCCACCATGTACTTGCCCTGAGACGCAGGTGGATTCAGGGGATGGACTCCCTGTTTCTGTAGTGCTGTGTTGATTCATACCAGCTGTCTCCACTCAGGCGCATCCATGCATGCTTGCGTGTGTGGTGCGCTCTGTGTGTGTGCGGTTGGTATCCTGCATGTCGGCACAGCCAAAAGCTTGCATTCAAGTGACTGGGAAGTACATGGGAGGCGATTCGGGGCCGCCTCCAAAAAGCCCCTTGTTCCGCTCCAGGATAGCGTGGCTAACTACCTGGAGGTCTATCCTAGCCCACACGACAGAGCCTGGCAAGCTACTCGTGTGCCTTCAATATGCCGAAAACAGCAATATGGATGGGCCTCATTCCCCTGAACCTGAGGGAGCCCCCAATACGGCAGCGTTGGGAGAGAGGCTGCTAGAATCTCAGGGCCCGGATAGGCTGCCTAAACGAAGAAGGACTAAGATGGCGATCTGTACTTTCAACGCACGAACGCTTGCATCCGAAGCTCACATCGAAGATCTGATGATGCAGGCCAGGAAGATCAAGTACGACGTCATCGGACTGACCGAGACGAGAAGGCACCGCCCGCTACACGCCGTTTTCGATACTGGAGAAGAACTGTTCCTTGGAACATGCGACAGCAGAGGCGTTGGCGGTGTGGGTGTCCTCGTCAACACGCACTTGGCCATAAACATCGATTCGTACGAAAGCCTTACGACCCGAATCGGACGTTTGAGATTGAGAAGATGTGGTTCAACTCCTGCTTTGACAATCTTCGTCGCCTACGCACCAACATCCAGCTACGACGAGGAGGAACACGAAGCATTCTATATGGAATTGGAGAAGTTCTACAGGGAAGATCATACCTTCTTCAAGGTCATCGTCGGCGACTTCAACGCGATGAGTTTATCATGTCGTCTACCATCTATGATAACTCACAGTTCCAGAAGCCTTGGGAGTCACTTGAGGGGCAGTTACCACAATGAGATAGACATCTTCAATCGAAGGTTTTGCCTGACCGACGTCGCTGTTGTTCCAAAGTTCTACACGGGATCGGACCATCGTCTCCTCCGCGCAAGATTCCACTTTTCGATGCGTGTTGAGAGAGCCTCAAAGTTCAGGAAGCGAAGCCCCAGGACAGTCATCAACTGGGATCACTTCACTTCTCTTGTCAGCTTATGGGAGGATTCCGTATCGAAAACATCGACGAGGAATATCATCGGCTCGTTGAACACCTTCACGAGAGTGGCAGGAAGGCAGAGAGTTTGAAAGTCACCAAGGACGTCTGTCTACGGAAACTCTCGAGCTGATACGTGGAGCCGCACGAGCTGCAGGCAATCACCGACTCACGTCCGAGCTTGCGAAGCTATGCAGAGAGGCGATAAAGGAAGATCTCAAGGAGCGAAGAGCAGCAGTATTAGCTGAAGCAGCAGAGGCTGGGAGGAGCATCCGCAATGCCCGCCGAAGCTTTGCCAGCTACAAGACCAAGATGACCTGCCTCCGACGTCCGGATGGAACAGTTACTGCATCCCGAAGGGCAATGGAGAAAGTCATCCACGACTTC